CTCCTGCCCACCCTGCCCGCGTGGGGGGCTCTCCCCTCCGCCCTGCCGGGTTTCCTGCCATTCTCCTCCAGCGCTGCTCCGGGCTCCTGAATGAAAGAAACCAACAGAATCATCCGGGTTTGGCTGCCGGTTTTATTTCACCTTTCAAAAACAGACTAAAAATAGAGAGCTGGACTAAAAATAGACGATGACCAGGTCTGCCAGATGCCGAGCATGGGAAGCTCACGGGTTTGGTTTCCAGTGGAAGCTGGGCTGTGTTTAAATGACATTCCCTGTGTCAAAGATGTAGGGTTTCATTAATACTTATGCCCACTGTGTGCACTATCTGAGTATGTCAGACCGTGCCTTAGAACTCATTTTAGAATAGTGACTCAGCTAAGCATGGCACGACGGGTAATCTAACATAACCTCAAATGAAGAACCAAAAAAACCCCCAAATCTGTTACTTATTAAGATTATTCTTTAATTGAAAGCACTGTCTTCAGCGGATTTTAGAAGAGAGACCTAGAGATGCTTCCACCCATCCAACCACTCTGCTTTTTGAGCCTCCGCCGTTCCTCTAGCGCAGGCACCGCCGTGCTCCCCGTCGGGGGACGCGTGGCAGAGGGTGGTGGCAGTGGGACCCTGCCTGCCCCCAGCACAGCACCGCCGGCGGCGGGGCTTGAACAAGGCTGACCCAGCCTCACCAGGGGTAGGTCGGGCTTTGTCGTCTGATGCCCATTCGCAATCATGCTTCGGAGATGCTGTGAAGTGGGCAAGCTCTTCGGCTGGGGGTTGTGTGTGTGTGCGCACACCTCCAAGCATATTCCAAATATTCAGAATATCCAGCTGTAAACAGGCTCTTCAGTTATTTCCGTCTGTTTATTCAACGAGCGGAAGATAACACCTTTTTTCATTGATATGACTCTCCATTTAAACCTCAGTTTAAAGAGACTTGAGCACGCTGCAGGTGAATACTGTAGAATTATTGCCTCCTGTCAGACCCCTAACAAATTTTTATAATTAAAAATTCAAAGACCAAAATAAGAAACATGCATTTGAGTTATCTCGAAGCAGTCTGTATCAGCTGTATAAGGTTAACAACGACTGAGCCAATTTCAACTAAACATTTACAGGATCAAGCGTCCAAATTTCAAACAGCACGGTGATGAAGGCTTGTTCACATAGACTGGGAATTTGTCCAAGTATATAAGGGTGATTTAATTTAATTGTGAATGATGCAATAGACATATGGCTAGGAAGTTATATGCCAGGAAACATGTTTTCTGTAAGTATTTTAGCAGGCAGATGGCATACAATAGTTTTGGTGTAGTCACTTCCCCACCTCTTAAAAGTTGCTATTTTGGACAGATGAAATAATTAGATTCCCACCATCCTCCCAAGACACCAGCACTGCTGACCCAGAGGATGTGCAACGTTAGAGGACTATTTCTGTACAAAATCCCGTCGAATAAATCAAACCTTACGTTCACCTACCCATTGCCATTCAAGAGTTTCAAAGCATTTTAATAACTTTCCCACTTAAATCGAAAGCAAGCGAGTATTAATGCTTTACAGCACTCCCACTGCACGGGCGAGAACAGAGGCACGTGGAAGGGCTTGGAGCATCGCCACACCACAACTAAACCCCAAAAGCCAAAAGTTTTGAGTCTCAATCCTCAGCCTTAGCAACCAAGCCGCCCCACTTCCCAGACAGACCAACGCTTTCTAGAAATTACAGCTGATCTACGTCCACCGCGCTCAGGCCTCCGAAGAACTGCTGCGGGAGGTCCAGCTTTTGGGAGCGGTACGAGCGTCCCTACGCCTGTACGGGGCGGGACAACCAGAGCAGAGTATGAAGATGCAAATTAAATGGTATCTGAGTGAAGCTTGGGTTATTTCTCCCGGTAAAGCTTCTAAGATGCTGTTGGGACGACATCTCCTTTGTGTTAACAGGAGGCACGGGACCAAATCCTGGCAGGGGCTGAGCAAGGGGAACTCCTGTCCTCCGCTAACGCAGGGCACAAGCTCTCTGCTCTGAGCAGAGGGCTCCTGAGGAACGAACTGATTGTGATTCATCTAAGAAAAGGCGAAGAGCTCAAAAGCTTCCCTAATATTATCATCCTTATCGCTACTTCCTTAAGAACTTGTCTTCTATTTGTTTTATTGTGTTTGGTTTTGCACGTTATTATATTTATATTGTAACTCTTGGGGCAGGAAATGCTTCCTTTACTAGTGTTTCAGAAACTACATCCTGAGCCTCCTATCAAGGCATCCTTTGTGCAAAGGCTGTTCTGGAGAGATTACTGCCTCAATTTCTACATCAGAGCTTCTCCGAAGCCATCTGCTTCTCCCAGCCCCTGAAGAGCCACTCACCCCTGAAGAAACATCCCCGCGTGTGCCGCGGGCACGCTGCCCTCCATTACAGGAGGGTGCTGGACGAGACCTCTCTTGCCCCTTCACCTCACCTTTACCTACAACTTTAAATGAAGGTTCCCCCTCTCCTCCCTTCTTTGTAATCTCAAAGGAAAACCTCCTGCTTCAGCAAGATGCACGCAACTTG